GAATTTGAAATCTTTGAGTTCCATGGAGACGGGGGACATAACCTCAAAATTTCAGCTTTCTAGCTTCTTTGGTTTCCGAGTTAGCGATTTTCTCGCCAAAACTTTCAACCCCTCATACGCGGGGCCAGGCTTACGTGAGGGTTGATACCGCGGTCCTGAGGTGGCGTTTGGCCGGGGAACCCACCAGCAAAATTTCGACGTCGGAGCTTGCTTGAGTGTCGAGTTGAAATATCCGGACAGACGCACACGCACATACATACACACATACACACACCGGCGTCGTCACAATATGCGTTTTTACATCTGCATATAAGCAGAAGCGCATAATTACACAACAGGATATATTAATGTCAGGAGCTGCCTCGAAGTTAAGCGCCGATAATTCATACGGATATCATTTCTTGCTAGCTTGTCATTGTTGGGATTTTCCTCAAGGTCGGTAAATTCAGCTGTTCAAATTATGCACATATGGATAATGCCAAGACTGCTCGGACAGTCGCTGTAGTGCCCAATGTTAGTGATGATACTGGAATGTTTCCATAAGCTGAGTGCAGCCATGCCAAGCCTTTCGATCCTGATCTGCATACCTCCAATTAGGACCTATCATCTGTTCGGTGCATATGCGCTCTTTTCGGAATCCTCCTGGATAGCCAGGGCCATACTTTGTTTAACTGCCTACTGTTGTCTAGCTGTTTTATTGTTCAAAAAATCATTCTGATAAGAAGGTATATTCGAGATTTGGGAGACCAGTTTTGCCGGTGATTGTTGTGCAATATCAAGTATGTTCCTCCTTATTTCAGCTGGTACAATGATGAACAGTTCTGCAACAGCCGCATTTATGGCAGCGCCAACATTGCTCAGTGCTACGGCATTAGCATCTACTCCGATGAAGGATGCCACCGAGACTGCCCGGTGTACTTCTCCAACCGCTGCAGGTACCAACTCAAGTATGGAATCAACTTCCGCCTCTGGAACCAATGCCACTGTCGAAGTTGCAAGGTTGGTCGGATTGAAGTAAGTAATACAAAGCAGTATCAGGCTTCTGGTTTTAGACTTTTGTGCAGGTAACTGTAGCGGCCCCACCTTCCCAGTCTCCTAATATTTGTTTTTGCATCTTTGTAACTCGTTATTATTCCGTTTCCCTGGGAATGTAGAAAATTATACACCTCTCCTTTTTCGGCCCTGCCTGCAAAATAAATGACACGTGATATGCATCTTTTCTCGAGTAATTCAGATTTCTCACCTATTTCAAAAGCAACTTAATTTAATATGAACTACAACCCACGCTACCATTCACTAGGATTGCCGGTGCGGTTAATGCGTTTTAACTAAGCTTGCAGCAACCAAACCGCTACCAGCATGAGTGGTTCCTGTGTAGTGATTTAACAAGTGAACTCATGTTGGCTCTTTTAGCCTTTTCCTACATTCAGGAGAAAAGGGCGTCGGTAGGATGTCCGTGTTGCGTCATGAGGCCGCGTGCATGTTGCGTCATGAGGCCGCTCTCAGCTTTGCATGAAGACACTTCGTTACTGTAATGAGCTGTAGTTCTCGAAAATTGAAAAGTTGAAAATGGACAAGATATCGAAAGAAGATTACGAAATCTGCAAAACGCACTCGCTTTTGAATATCCGATAAAATTGAGTATTTGTCATGTTCGCGTAAAGTGTGTGTATGTGTGTATATGTGTGTGTGTGTGTGTGTGTGTGTGTGTGTG